AAACAAACTGCCCAATTTTGAAAACCTAGCCCAACCCAATCTAGTCAAGTTTTTCTACCAACAAAAAAATAAAAATAATGGACTAAAAGAAAAAAAAAACCACATGCTTATTAAATGCCTTGAAAACCTAAGCGATCATAACACGAGTCATGAAACACAATTTAAAAAATAAATGCTAATTATATTGAATTTAAATTTCTTTACATTAAGAATCATTAATGAAACTGGTATAACATTTTTGGGCTCTTTAGGGTTTGGCCTAACCCAATTTGAACCCAAAATAAGTTAACCCAAACCCGAAAGTTTTGCATTGGGCTCGAATCTAATCATCACCTCAAGTAAAATCCTGACCAGACTTATTTCAAATTATTGTAACAGATCAAACCATATGAAACAAAAAATAAATAAGTAAATAAAAAGACAAACAACCGACTCCAAAATAATATATTTAGCATTTCTCTGTTACATAGTTAAAGATAGAAAAATAGAAACTAGCCAAATGTTCAACAATACGTACAGCAGAGGAGAAGAGCCTGTATCAATTGCAGAGCAACGAGTCTCTCGTTGCATTCCCAGTCACTGGATTCACCCTGAATCATGTTAAGAGACCATACTGATTTTAGTTTCAGATGGATGGAAACAATACATGCAACACAAGTCAATAACCAGATATGTATAGGAACCATTACCCATCAGCAACTTTGCAGAGGTAATCTCGCTGGTCATCTCTCAGTGGAACATCAGTGAAGTCTGAGAAGGAAGATTAATGGTGTCGAGTAACTTTCCATTGGTAGACTCGCAGTTTAATACTTTAGATTTTAAGATGGAAAAGCCATGATTACTCGAAAGGAGGAATTAAGAGAAAACTTATAACAATAAACACAAAGCCCATAAGAAGAAGCAACAAACAATATAACAATATAACAACAACAACATCAAGTCTTTATCCCATTACTTGGGGTTGGCTACATGAATCTTTTTTCCCCATTGTGTCTTGTTAAGAGTCAAATTCCCATTTAAATCTAATAAAGAATGATTATTTGACAAGTGTTACGTTGGTTGTCAACTACCTAACACAACCCTTCATTTTTCTCATCCAGGACTTGGGACATGATTACAAGCAACGATGGATATATATTGAAAAACTACTTAATTTGAAGAGTCGTCAGATTATTTTGGATCAAATTTGAAGAATTAATAGATTAAAATGTACACATAAGAAAATCTGGTATTAAAATGGTCCATTATAAATACTTTATGGATCATCTTGATCTTTTTTTTGTATTTTATTTTTAAACCAGCCAATTTTGGGCATTATTTATGCACATCTCTAAAATATACAGTCCTCAAGAATGGATACAAAGGTGGGATGACAGGAGAAGCAGCAGAGAAAGATTAAGCTAACTTCCACAGCAATCAAAGAACTCAGCCCAAGCAAAAAAAGTAGGCATGCATGAAAGTGATACGCCCTAGGGTTCCCAAGTTTGGGTTTGCCC